CTTGTTGCCACGACACTTATGATTGTCATTCCCCCCAAATGTGAAACTCTCACTGACTCATTGTTAGTTTCTGATGTCCTCCAAACACTAAGATTGGCATTTGAAGCTTTCCAAGATTGAGTGCCAAGTATCTTTGTTTCCTGATTCTCTTCATGAACTTTTTACTGCATTCAAATTAGATTACTTCCTTATCCTCTTATACTTTGTCTTCATCTCAGTTCTGTCTAGAATTTCCTAAAATCTCCTTTTCAAAATTCTACCCAATTTCCAAGACCCAGGTAAAATGTCATTTTCATAAAGCATGCCTTTCACAATTTCCCATCCTGGTTTGTTCCCTAAATGATCTTATACCTCCAGACTGTACCTAACATACTCTACTGTACATATTTTACTCATTAATTTTTGGATCCCATAGAGTCAGGGATGGGCATTTAGAGTCCTGCATTTTAAAAGATGAAATTAGGGCCAGATGTGATAGCTCACACCTGTAATCCCAGCACTTTGTGAGACTGGGGTGAGCAGATCACTTGAGGTCAGGAGTTTGAGACCATCCTGGCCAACATGGTGAAACCCTGTCTCTACTAAAAATACAAAAATTAGCTGGGCGTGGTAGAGGGGCTTCTGTAATCCTAGCTACTTGGGAGGCTGAGGCAGGAGAATCGCTTGAACCTGGGTGGCAGAGGCTGCAGTGAACCAAGATTGCACCACTACACTCTAGCCTGGGCAACAGAGTGAGACTCTGACTCAAAAAAAAAAGGTGAAATTAAGTCATTGGAGACTTGGCATTAGAATCTCACAAAGCTAATTGTTAGCCTTAAATCTAGAAGATGTCGGTCTTACAAAGGGCTTAGAGTTGTTTGGTGACCTTTTGGCTTGAACAAAGCTTTACAAAACAAACTGACATGTAGTATTGAAAAACCATTAATGATTTGGTGAAAATTCGTAAATCATCATAGTTATGTTGTTACATGAGTTCTTTTCAAATTTATTTTTCTCTTTCTTAGGTAATACGAGGAAATAGTATCATCATGTTAGAAGCCTTGGAACGAGTATAAATAATGGCTGTTCAGCAGAGAAACCCATGTCCTCTCTCCATAGGGAAATTAGGT